AGAGTACAGATAGATCTCCTCCAGGGACTTGATCTTCATGTCCTTAACCAGGCGGCCCAGCTTGGTGACTGGCACCCACTATCACAGGAAAGAAACTCAAGTAAACTACAAAAAGCCAAAATACTAAATGCTTATGTTCAAAACACTTATTAATCCAAAAACCTACCTCCTTGTCCTCGGACTTGCCGCCCCGTGCACCGCGGCCCCTGCCACGGCCTCTGCCGCGTCCACGGCCCCGACCGCGGCCACCGGCGCCAAAACCTCCGCGAAAACCTCCTCTACCACCGGCGTCGTCCGCCATTTGCTACACGACAAGAAAACAACAAAGACGTTTAGTTATTTATCCCCCAAAATACGGACATCAGTCTTACGGGACACGAGTATCGCCGCCATATTCATATAAGCAAACTACAAATATTTCCATCTGTATTCAAATTCGCTGTTAAATAGGTCTGGGATTTTAATTTAATATGTTCATATATGATCTTATAATCAGCTCTGAAGTGTCTGACTGAACGATGCGTGAGATTTTTAAGGATATAAACTAGGAAGAGAAACTCAACAGCACACTTACGTGATCGATAAAACAGGAAGAAGGCCTGTGAGAGGTTCCGCCGGGTTATATGCTAAAGTTTTATCGCGAGATTTACTCCACGAGAAAACCTACTCTCTACCGCCTCTACCGAATAACTGCGACAGATTTTATATTTGCTTACTAAAAACACAGTTCTTAAAAAATCAATTATAATAAAATCAAAACGCACTCTTTTAAAATCCATTTTAAGTGTTCATTTAATTAATCTGATTATTCTGTAAACATACTTTAATTGGTTTTTAATTATCTAGTGAAATGTAATAATAACACATTAGAATAGAATAGAATAGAATAGAATAGAATAGAATAGAATAATCCTTTAATTGTCCCACAAGGGGAAATTTGGTTGTATCAGCAGCAAAAAACACACATATACAAAAAAGAACAGGACACAGAACAGAAAACAATTTTTACATATTTACATCATAGATAGAAGTTACCAGAGCAGAGTACAGTACAGTTGTTAAAATTAGAGTACAGATAGTGTGCAAACAGAGCAGGATACTGAAAGATGTTTAAATAGTTAAGAATATTTAGAATAATTAGAAAAGTTAGAAAAGTGCAGATTGTGTATTGTACCTGTGCATTAAAAAGTAGACATGTAACTTCCAATAAGTTAGTGTATGTATAAGCTGAGAAAAGTAATGTGCGATTATAACAGTTGAAGTTGTTACAGCACTGATGTAAACATCTATGTTTGTTGCGAGCAGTTTTGATTGTACAGTCTGACAGCTGCAGGGAGGAAGAACCTACAGAAACGCTCCTTCATGCATCTAGGATGCAGCAGTCTGTCACTGAAGGAGCTCTGCAGTTCAGCAACATTTACATGCATGGGGTGGGAGACTCTGTCC